GGCTACCACACTCGGATACCAATTGTTGTTCCTGGGGGGTGAACCCATAGTGGATCTTCCCACTCGGTTATACATGTGGAGACCAAGACAATATACTACTTGATTAGCGTTCACCCTAATCTCTAAACATGAACCCATAATATGTATATGGCTTCTGTGTGTAGGTGAGTGTCACTCGGGTCAATGCTAGAAATGGGAAAAATGTGTGTGTGGATGAAAATATATGTGTGTGCAAGAGAGCATAAAGGAACTTGCAATTGTCATGTTTTACTTGAAATTGAGTATTCTACGGTTGTCTCCTCAGGGAAGGAAGGTTGAATTGTAATGAAGGTGATTTGGTAAAAATGAAAAGTGTAAAAATCATGTGAATTGGTGTTTTGGTGAGTGAAGATTGGTTGTTGAAATGCAAAAAAAATAAGGTTGGCTAATCCAAATAATCACTCCAATGGGAATGCCTAATCAACTCAATTCATTCAACCAATGGTGCCTAGGTGATTGATTTATTCATAGGAAGTGAGGGACCAATGTGGAATATAGGCTCAAACATACCCCGTGACAAGTCTACGGTGTATCAAGAGCTCACAACCACATCCGCACTCAACCCAGTCAAATCAAACACTCTAAACTATGAGGTAGAATGGAGGAGAGTTGATTTAGCATACCCAAGCAGAAGTTCCTCTTGGATTAGCCAACAAAAAGCTTAGCTACTCATGGTTGAAGTAAAAGCATTCATAATGTGAAGAGACATTTAGATGTAATACAAATGAAAATGAGATGGTTGACGTAAAAGCATTCATAATGCGAGGAGATGTGTAGATGTAATACAAATAAAAATGAGATGAGAACGAAGATTAGAACATATATTAATGCTAGGATGAAGTAAACTATAAAGAGAAATTCATTTCATACCAAAATGGAAAAGTTGCAGAGGAACCTAGCAAAAGTAATGAAGTGCAAGAACATTTTGATTAAACTTGATTACACTTGAATTAAAAGAGATTACAATGCAAGAAATAAAGATTACAAGTGAAATATAACTTACTACAAAGGAAATGGGTGAAGAAAATGCAAAAATCTAAGTTGTCTCTCACTAAAACTCTATCATCTACCTTGAGAGCTTCTTTCCCTAAAAGTGCTGAGCTATATATGTAATGTATAGCCTCCTCTGTAATTTTCATCCATGAAGCTCTATGGCACGTGTGCTGATTGAATTCCATGATTGGGAGAGTTTGGATACTTGCACCAGCAAGGTACAAGCATGCCAGCAGTCCCCCACACCATTGACCAACCCCTCTCCTTCTCTCTCCTCTTATGCCATGCCTCATCTTCCAAAGTCATGCTTTTGTGTAATGATGGCATGGGTGTAGATAGAACATATCAGGGTAGGTGTCAGAGAAGCATAGGTGGACCCCCTAAGTAGTTAGAATCTGAGTTGTAGGTTTCAGGCGTTTTTCAGCAAAACCTACCGATAGGTTGATAGCCAAACATACCGATAGGTTTTACTCTAGTAGCCAAAACCTTCCAGAAGGTTTGCGGTAGATCTAAGTCCAGTACACAAAACCTACTGGTAGTATTATGAGCAAACCTACTAGTAGGTTTTTACTTGTTTTGCTCAAATCTTGGTCTTTTCACCTTCTAAGCCATAGTCAAGCCTCCCCATCATCTCCATTGACTTTGAGCACCACGATGGAGGCTTAACTCACACCATTTCTAACTCTTAGCCTGCAAACACACCGAAACCTCATTAATTGTTAGAAATATTGCAATTCCTCCCATTTTCACCACAAGAGCAAGTATAAAAGGGGTTCAACTGTATACATTATGTATAACATTTTGTGCTAATCATATACCTAGAGGGGGGGTGAAAAGGGTTTTCAATTTCAGCCCAAATTGATTACAAATTAAAAACTATGTCTACCGCAATTACCTCTTCTAATAAATATGAAGCAATGAATGTGAGAACCCTTTTAGTCACCACAAACCCATTGAACCATGAAGATTGATTTTATTTAATATGCAATTAATTCACTCAATTCTATCTCATGGCGATCCAAACAAACCCAATAGCATAGATATGGTTCGAAGATATTTTTACAAATCAAATCAACAAACACACAGTGCATGTGTGTGCTAAAAAATGAAAGGGTGTACAACAAAAAGTAAAGCACAGTTGCTATTTGTTCACGGTAAAAAGCCCCCTAGGGAAAAATTGTGGGAACCTCACTAGGTACACCATTGCTTGATCCATCAGTTCCTATGTCAACATACAAGAACTCGAGAATTATAGACCAACCAATACCATGGTTGAAGCTCCTTTCCTTGATATGTCTCTCCATCGAAAGTCCTTCTCCGACGCCTGGTGTAGCTTCACTTGGACCTCCTAACCATGAGGTTCGTCTAGGCCTCGAGCAATTATGGGCACACAAACAATCCTCAGTATGCACACATCAAGGATTTGGGTTTCTTTAGCAACCTTCTTCTTTGAATTCCAACCCTTACCATTCTTAACAAATTTTGATCTTGTCCCAACTTCTGGGGCTGAAGGGTTGGTAATGCCCTTCATAAACACGGTCTAGGATGAAGTGTGGGTGTGTTCATTTGGGTTGCCTAAACCACACTTATCACCTAAAATTTTTCCCATAGATAACATTCTATCAAACTTCGCAATGAATTGGGGAAGTCTATTATAGAGCTCATTTGATTCACAAAGATCTTTTTCAAGTTTGACACATTTTGACTCAAGATTCTTCTTAGGCTTGACAGGCATTCAATCAAGGTGAGACTTGTTCTTATCTTCTAGGCTAGATATTTGGGCCTTGGACTTGACCAAGTCCACTTGAAGGCCTCTCGTCCCTTCTTCACTTGAGTTGACCCGACCACTCAAGAAGAGCCCCTTCTCTTGTTGCTTGAGGAGTTGCACATACAATTGATCATATACATCTTACATATCCTCAAAGCAATCTTAATCCTCCATACACGTGAGGATTTGCTCATCCAAGTCCTGTACCTCCGTGTTGGGACTTGCTTCAACTTCACTGGTGGAATTTTCTCTTGGGGGGTAGAGAAAAGTGTTCCTACAAAAGCAGTAAAGTTTTCTGCATCATCTTGAGAAGAGAAGTCATCACTCGAGGTCAACTCACATTTACAATCATGCCACTTGGCTTTCATAACCCTCCTATTTTCATTGCGCAAATCTCTCATCTTTCAATTTGGGCATTCCGACACAATATGTCTGAATCCTTGACATCCAAAGCATTGGAATCCTTGTCCCTTTCTCTCAGCTTCTTTTCGAGAGTCCCTTCCCCCTTTTTCTCTTCCTTTCTGAGGAGTACTATGCCTACAAGGCTTTCCTTTCGACCTTGAGGACTCAACATTACTAGCCTTGAAATATTTTTTAAACTTCTTTACAATCAAGGCTAGGTCCTCCTCTCCAAATCGAGACGACCCGAATTTCCCTCCTTCTTGATAAGTTTAGCTAAAGGCCAATCCTTTAGCTTGCTTTAAGGATGGAAGTTTCATCTCAAAGGTTTTCCACCAACACCAACTCTATGTTGACACTTGTCTCCAAGGATATGACCTTAACATGAAATCTCTTGGGTAGAGATCTCAAGAATTTCCACCTGATGGCCACATCGTCAACCTTAGTACCTAATGCATATTATTAATTTACAGTATCAAGCAATTTAGCATAGAATTCGCTAAATGTTTCATCATCTTGCATCCTCGAACTCTCGAATTGAGAGGTCTACCTTTGCAGTCAAGACATCATCACCAAGGAAGTCCCTCCATTAAAAACAACCAAGATGTTGCATGCTTCCGTTGAAGTTTTGCAATTAGCAATCCTTTGGAACTCATTAGGTGTCGCAACACTGAATTTCGCATTTAAGCCTTTTTAATTTCACCTCGTGGACTCATTCTCATTTTTAGTCCATACCTTCGACGATTTTACTTCAACCACCACTTCACCACTTTCAACTTGCGTGGTAGTGGTGGGAGGCCTTCAACCCTCTTGGAGATTCAACCACACTCTCTTATCAATGGATTTAAGAAGTGCTCTCGTACGAGCTTACCAATGCGCAAAGCTGGAACCATCAAAGAGTGGTGGTTGTCCAATTGAACCATCATTCTTTGAAGAATCCATTCAAAACTAACTAGTTGTAATGATAGATTTCTCAAAGGTAAAGTAGGCAAGTTAGCAAAAACAAGATAAGTCTACTCAGTGACTCAAATTCTTAGGGCAACCACGCTATGATACCAATTGTTGTTCCTAAAGGGTGAACCCATAGTGGATCTTCCCTCACAATTATACACGTGGAGTCCAAGACGTTATACCTAGAGGGGGTGAATAGGGTTTCAATTTTATATTACAAATTAAAACCTATGTCTACCACAATTATCTCTTCTAACAAATATGAAGCAATGAATGTGAGAACCCTTTTAGTCACCCCATACCCTTTGAACCATGATGATTGATTTTAATTAGTATGCAATCAATTTACTTAATTCAATCTCACGATGATCCCAACAAATCCAATTGCACAGCTATGGTTCAAATATATTCGTACAATCAAATCAACAAACACACAGTGCGGGTGTGTGCTAACAAATGAAAGTGCGTACAATAGAAAGTAAAGAACACTTCAGTTTTTTGACGGCAAAAACCACCCTTGGGAAAAACCGCGGGGAACCTCGCTAGGTTCACTAAAGCTTGATCCGTCACTTTCCAACTCAAAATACAAGAACTCGAGAATTATATCCCAACCAATACCTCGGCTAGAAGCTCCTTTCCTCGCTATGTCTCTCCCTCAAATATCCTTCTGCGACATCTGGTGTAGCTACACTTGGACCTCCCTGCTGTGATGTTCACCTAGGTCTCAAGCAATTATGGGAATGTCCTTAGTCTTCAGTTGATGAAAACACACAATGATTTCTGTTTCTTTCGTAACCTTCTTCTTTGATTCGTTAAATTCCTACCCTTACCATTCATAACAAATTTTGACCTTATGCAACCATGTGGTGCTGATGAGTTGGTAATGCCCTTCAGAAACACGGTCTTGTAAGAAGTGTTGGTGTGTTCATTTGGGTAGCCTAAATCCTGCTTATCGCATTTACTTTTTCCCATAGATATCATCCTATCAAACTTTGCATTGGAGTGGGGAAGTCTATTAGAGAGCCCATTTGATTCACGGAGATCTTCATCAAGTTTGACACATTTTGGCGCAAGATTCTTCTTAGACTTGACAGGCACTCGATCAAGGAGAGACTTGTTCTCGTCTTCTAGGCTAGATATTTGGGCCCTAGACTTGACCATGTCCACTTGAAGGCCTCTCATCCCTTATTCACTTAAGTTGACTCGACCACTCAAGGAGAACACCTTCACTTGTTGCTTGAGGAGTTGCACATAAAATTGATCATATACATCTTGAATATACTCATAGCAGTCTTAATCCTCCATACATGTGTGGATTTCCTCGTCCAAGTCATGTACCTCCGTGGTGGGACTTCCATCAACTTCACTAGTAGAAGTTTTTATTGGGGGGGGGGGGAGGGGGGCGGGGAAGGAGAGTGGGCCTAGAAAAGTAGTAAAGTTCGTTGCATCATCTTGAGAAGAGGGGTTATCACTCAAGGTCGACACACTTTCATGATCATGCCACTTGGCTTTCATAGCCATCCTATTTTCACTGCACAAATCTCTCATCTTTCAATTTGGGTATTCTGACGCAATATATCCAAATCCTTGACATTCAAGACATTGGACACCTTGCCCCTTTCTCTCAACTTCTTTTTGAGAGTCCCTTCCTCCTTTTCCCCTTCCTTTCTTAGGAGTACTACACCAACAAGGCATTCCTTTCAACCTGGAAGACTCAACATTACAAGTCTTGAAATATTTTTTGAACTTCTTTACAATCAAGCCTAGGTCCTCCTCTCCAAATCGGGATGACCCAGATTTCCCTCCTTCTTGATAAGCTTAGCTAATGGCCATGCCCTTAGCTTGCTTTAAGGATTGAAGGTTCATTTCAAACGGTATGATTGACCCTACCATGTCTTACACCAACACCAACTCTGTGTTTACACTTGTCTCCAAGGATGTGACCTTAACACTAAATCTCTTGGGTAGAGATCTCAAGATTTTCCACTAGATGGCCACATCGTCAACCTTAGTACCTAGAGCAAATGATTAACTTACAGTATCAAGCAATTGAGCACACAATTCACTAACTATTTCATCATCTTCCATCCTCGAACTCTCAAGCTGAGAGGTCTGCCTTTGCAGTTTAGACATCTTCGCCAAGGAAGTCCCTCCATAGGAAACAACCAAGATGTCGCACGCTTCCATTGAAGTTTTGCAATTTGCGCTCCTTCGGAACTCATTAGGTGTCATGACATTGAATATCGCATTCAAGCCTTTTGAGTTTCACCCCATGGACTCATTCTCATTTTTAGTCCATACCTTCGATGATTTTACTTCAACCACCACTTTCAACTTGCATAGTGGTGGTGGGAGGCCTCCAACCCTCTTGGAGGGTCAACGTCACTCTCTCATCAATGGATTTAAGAATCTCTCTCATACGAGCTTTCCCATACACAAAGCTTGATCCATCAAAGAGTGGTGGTTGTCCAATTGAACCACCTTCCTTTTGAGAATCCATTTAAGACTAACTAGTAGTAATGATATATTTCTCGATGTTAAACTAGGCAAGTTAGAAAAAATAAGATATGTATACTCAGTGACTCAAATTCTTAGGGCAACCACACTCTGATACCAATTGTTGTTCCTGGAGGGCGAACCCGCAATGGATCTTCACTAACAAATATACACAAGGAGACCAAGACATTATACCTAGAGGGGGTGAATAGGGTTTTCAATTTTATCCCAAATCAATTCAAAATTAAAACCTATGTCTACCACAATTACCTCTTCTAACAAATATGAAGCAATGAATGTGACCCTTTGAGTCACCTTAAATCCTTTCAATCATGACGAGTGATTTTAATTAATATGCAATTAATTTACTCAAGTCAATCTCATGGTGATCCCAACAAATCCAATTGCACAACGATGGTTCAAAGATATTCATACAATCAAATCAACAAACACACAATGCGTGTATGTGCTAACAAATGGAAGTGTGTATAATAGAAAGTACAAAACACTTGCTATTTGTTGACGACAAAACCCCCCCCCCTGGAAAAATGCGGGGAACCTCGCTAGGTTCACCAAAGCTTGATCCATCACATTCCTAGTCAACATAAAAGAACTTGATAATTATATCCCAATCAATACCATGGTTATAAGCTCCTTTCCTCGCTATGTCTCTCCGTCGAAAGTCCTTCTCTGACGTACAATGTAGCTTCACTTGGACCTCCCTGTCGTGAGGTTCGCCTAGGCCTCGAGCAATCATGGGCATGCCAAGAGTCCTCAGTATACACACACCAATGATTTGGGTTTCTTTTGCAACCTTCTTCTTTGATTCTTTGAATTCCTACCCTTACCATTCGTAACAAATTTTGAGATTGTGCAAACATGTGTTGATGGGTTGGTAAACACCTACACTTTTTCCCATAGATAACATCCTATCAAACTGTGCATTGCATTAAGGAAGTCTATTAGAGAGCTCATTTGATTCACGAAGATCTTTATCAAGTATGACACATTTTGGCTCAAGATTCTTCTTAGGCTTGACAAGCATTCGATCAGGGAGAAACTTGTTCTCATTTTCTAGGGTACATATTTGGGCTTGGACTTGACCAAGTCCACTTGAAGGCCTCTCATCCCTTCTTCACTTGAGTTGTCTTGACCACTCAAGGAGAGCACCCTCTCTTGTTGCTTGAGGAGTTGCACATACAATTGATCATAATACATCTTGAATATACTCATAGCAATCTTGATCCTCCATACAAAAGGGGATTTTCTTGTCCAAGTCATGTACCTCTGTAGTGGGACTTCCATCAACGTCACTAGTGGAATTTTCTCTAGGGTGCAGAGGAGAGTGGTCCCACAAAAACAGTAAAGTTCTCTGCATTATCTTGAGAAGAGGAGTCATCACTCGAGGTCGACTCACTTTCATGATCATGCTACTTACCTTTCATAGCCCTCCATTTTCATTGCACAAATCTCTCATCTTTCAATTTAAGCATTCCAATGCAATATGTCCGAATCCTTGACATTTAAAGCATTGCACACTTTGCCTCTTTCTCTCAACTTCTTTTCAAGAATCCCTTCCCCCTTTTTCTCTTCCTTTCTTATGAGTACTATGCCTACAAGGCCTTCCTTTCTTATGAGTATTACTAGTCTTGAAATAGTTTTTGAACTTCTTTACAATCAATCCTAGGTCCTCCTCTCCAAATCTGGATGACCCAGATTTCCTTCCTTCTTGATAAGTTTAGCTAAAGTCCATGCCCATAGCTTGCTTTAAGGATGGAAGGTTCATCTCAATGGCAAGATTGACCCTACTAGGTCTTCCACCAACACCAACTCTATGCTGACACATGTCTCCAAGGATATACCCTGAACACAAAATCTCTCAAGTAGAGATCTCAAGATTTTCCACTGGATGGTCACATCGTCAACCTTAGTACCTAATGCAATTGATTAATTTATAGTATCAAGTAATTTAGCATGCAATTCACTAAATATTTCATCATCCAGCATCCTCAAACTCTCAAACTGAGAGGTCTACTACCTTTGGAGTCGAGACATCTTCACCTAGGAAGTCCCTCCATGGGAAACAACCTAGATGTCGCACGCTTCCGTTGAAGTTTTGCAATTAGTGATCCTTCAAAACTCATTAGGTGTCGAAGTAGTGAATATTGCATTCAAGCCTTTCGAGTTTCACCCCATGGATTCATTCTCAATTTTAGTCCATACCTTCGATGATTTTACTTTAAGCACCCTTTCACCACTTTCAACTTACATAGTGGTGGTGGCAAGCCTCCAACCCTTTTGGAGAGTCAACCAGACTCTCTCATCAATGGATTTAAGAAACACTCTCGTACGAGCTTTCCAATATGCAAAGCTCAATCCATCAAAGATTGGTGGTCGTCCAATTGAACCACCTTACTTTTGAGAATCCATTCAAAACTAACTAGTAGTAATGATAGATTTCTCGAAGGTAAAGTAATTAAGTTAGCAAAAACAAGATATGTCTACTCAGTGACTCAAATTCTTAGGGCAACCACGCTCTAAAAATAATTGTTGTTTCGGGAGGGCGAACCCGCTGTGGATCTTCCCTCATGATTATACATGTGAAGACCAAGACACTATACCTAGAGGGGGTGAATAGGGTTTTCAATTTTAGCCCAAATTGATTACAAATTAAAACCTATGTCTACCACAATTACCTCTTCTAGCAATTATGAAACAATAAATGTGAGAACCCTTTTAGTCACTACAAACCCTTTGAACCATGACGATTGATTTTAATTATTATGCAATTAATTCACTCAAGTCAATCTCACAGTGATCCCAACAAATCCAATTGCACAGCTATGGTTCAAAGATACTCGTACAATCAAATCAACAAACACACAGTGTGTGTGTGGGCTAACAAATGAAAGTGTGTACAATAAAAAGTAAAGAACACTTGTTATTTGTTGACGGCGAAAACCCCTTTGGGGAAAAACTGTGAGGAACCTCACTAGGTTCATCAAAGGTTGATCCATCACTTTCCAAGTCAATATACAAAACTTGCAAATTATATCCAAAGAATACCATGCTTAGAAGCTCCTTTCTTCGCTACGTCACTCCGTCGGAAGTCTTTCTCCGACGTCTGGTGCAACTTCACTTAGACCTCCCAGCCATGAGGTTCGTTTAAGACTCGAGCAATTATGGGTAAGACAATAGTCCTCAGTATGCACACACCAATGATTTGGGTTTCTTTTGCAACCTACTTCTTTGAATTCCTACCCATACCATTCTTAACAAATTTTGAGCTTGTGCAAACTTGTGGGGGTGATGGGTTGGTAATGTGATAAGTCAGTTTTATACCTACGAATTGAGTACTCTTGGCTTGATGAAATTGTAAGTTTTCAAGTATTTTATGTTCATTTTTATTTGTTTTGTGTGTTTTAATGTTATTTTGTAGGGATCATCATTTGGAAGGAAACAAGATCATTTGGAAGGAAACAAGGTCATTTGATAGCCTAAGTGTTGGATTATTTGGAGACTAGGCAACAAGGGTAGCCGTAGGCATCAAAAGGGGATCAACGCCACAGCTCTAGGAGCAGCACTGCAGTGCTAGAAAGGCAAAAAGTCAGTGCCCCTATGCTGATTTTAGGGGCTGCAGTGCCTGTTTTAATGTGGACACGAATTTTGACTTGTTTTTTTTAGTC